AGTGAAGGACTGGAAGGCCTGGCGCAATATGGTTCATGGGGTCACGAAGAGTCGGACACGACTTAACGACTAAACAACAACAACAACAATTGCTGTACTATAATTTTTATAAGGACATATAGAATTTTCTCATTTCACCTCATCTGTAGCAGTATCCAGGACAGACAGACTATTATTACAAAAAGCTTCTACTTTCTGATTCAAATACTAGTATTATCAGCCTTATCAAAACTGAAACTTAGTTTTGTGTTGCAGTGGTTAAACATGTCATCATATGCTACATCCCTGAGTATTCTGTTTTTATATGAGTTTATGTTTTAAAGTGGATTGTTGATCATAATCAACAAGTATAAACAACAAACACTACATGTAAAGTCATCACCTAAAATCTACATAAATATTTAGAAATGTGGAAACTATATGCTAGAATCTGTGCAGCATTAAAAAACAAACTGTAGCATCATTATCCTCTAGAACATTCCTTTTCAAAGACTTCAAAAAGTCTGAATTTGAATATTTCTCAACGTTGTCAAGATATACGGTCTATAATGAGCACCTGCAATATTTGTACAATATTTGTAGGAACAATAATTTGAAATATCTAGTCCATATTTAACAGATAGCAAACTGTTAAGGTTACATCACAGTAAGACAAGAAAAGGGGATGAATTATCATACGCTGCTTGCAATCCAGAATATCATAGTGCTTCTCAGCAGTGCTTATGATAACCACTCAACCATGTTCCAGAGAAACTCCAACTCTTAAAATTTTTACATAAAAGAAAACCTATCCTAATCCAGAATTAACATTCTCTGGGCTAGCCATATTCTTCACTAAAATAATTAATCTTTGCCAAAATAAACAAGAGTCCATAGCAGGTAAAAATCTGACTTTTTAAAAACTTACATAACGTATGCAAATTTGTGGGTACAAAAGAGGCAAATATATCTCCTGTGAAATTAGGGTACTCTTGAAATATCATGGAGTTCAGTGTTGACTCCAATGCAAAAGATTAAAGGTAGAGTTAAATTGATGTCTCTTACCGAAGTCTGTACTCCCCCACTATAATTTAAATGCAGTATAACATCCACTTTTCTCTCTGGTCTTAAAAGGGGTGGGTAACTGGTATTGATGAAAAACCCAGTATCCACCAGAGACAAAGTTTGGTCTGCTGTTTCCATCAGTAGGTTAGGTCGAGAGTCCAGCACAGAGTCTGAAAAGCAAATATTTCCAGTCAACATTCTCTAGCAGGAGTGCACTTCTCTTGGGCCATTGGCTGCATGTAACCTTCATGGGGTGCTCAAAAACCATGCTAAAAAGTAATGGAAGGGGTAAGACAACAACTTCCTTTTATTTACACTCACATCTTAACATTCTTTATAGTAAGTGCAGTTATTTTCCAGCCATGTTTTAAATAATACCATGCCATATTCTTGCCATATTTAACATTACAGGGTAGTAAACACTTCTGAAGATCTCCAGAAGATGCGCCCCAAATTTTAGAAGCTTACATGTGTATGGAGGGGTACCTTTTACCACCACAGTGTATTCCTGGAGCTCCAAGTTGTCTACCTTTGTTCTAGAACAATAAGTTCCTAGATGAAATAGAGGTATTCCCTCTCCTACCTTCCAAATTTCACATTTGCTAGCTTTCTTTTGCAGTTCCCAAGTCCTGCAGTTTTAAAGAAGCATATTGCTTAAAGAGTAGCACCTTCTTTTAATGTTTTAAAAGATGTTTAATTGTTTTATCTTTTAAATAAAAGATAGGATAAAAAATATACTGGCAAATAAATAATGTTTGGAAGAGGAGCACAATGCATACTTCAGTTATTCTATCCATTTGTTTATTAACAGCATGATACCGTGTTGTTATTGAAACAAATGGAGCTTGATTAAGCTAGGTACCTCAAAGAATTAGGCTTGGATCAGCCAAGTGAGCTATAGTCTTCTATAGGCCTTAGAGCACTACTGGAGTACAGAACAGGATCTACAGTATTAGCCATTATTCTGAGCAAGAAGCACAGTGTCTATGGATAGACTATGCTTAGAATAAATTCTAGGAGGCAAGGATCTGTCTTTTCTCTCTATTCCAGCCAACTATAGGATTATTTGTTAGAAGAAGCTTCAAATGGCTTTTCCAAGACATTTTGCTGCCTGATGTGAAGGACAAGTTACTACCCCCTGTTCCACAATACATCTAGAAACCAACTGAAATGGCATTTTATTTCAGCACTCACAATGAAGCAGGGTTTTCTACTCCAACTGGCCATGAAGGAAACCTAATTCAATTTACAGGTAGGATCTTTGATAGGATTACCAGATCTGGGATGCAAAGAACTAGTTGGCCACTAGATGGCAACAAAGAGATAAATGGAAACATTAAACTCTTTGCTGCATATAGTAGTCATCTGGATTTTTTAAACCCAGAAATCTAGCTTTAGATTTGGGTTCCGAAGCTGTGTCCTAGCCAGAAAATTGCCACCCTGACTAAGTCAAATACAATTCAGCAAACACCTATTACAGTATGATATATTGAAAGAGTACTGTGTTTATCTGCCAGCCCACTGGAACTTGTCTATGTAGGAATACAGGAAATGATGTATAGTGAATCAGATAATTGATCCATCTTTTAATAGTGTGGACATTAACGGGCACAGGCTCTCCAAGATTTTAAGCAAGAGTTTGCAGCCTTGCCTGAAAATGCCATGGGCTGATTTATGTACTTCTGTATCCCAAAAGGTCTTGTGTATTAACTTAAAGCCCTTCCTTGGAGGACTACTGGATATTTTTTACTGCTGTTGGTTTATTTAATAAATGGTGCCTTCATTTCATCTTATAAGTACAACATCAATATATTATTTTTTTAATGAAATCTAGCATTTGAACTCCAATTCTTTATTTTGAAGGTTTTTTTAACCCAACTTTCCCAGTCAAAGAGTTAGGGTTAGCTAGCAGATGTATTTTCAGTCTGGAAAAGTTTGAAAGGGGTTTTGCAGAAAATGAACATGTGGATATTGTTCTCAAATGCTGTTGATGGCATAAGCACATGCTTTCTATCTCGAAGAGAAATCTAAAGCACCGGGGGGGGGTTTGTTTTGTTTTGGTTTTTCACCAAATCTCAGGGTTTGATTAAAAAAAGTAAAGGGGGCAGCTACTACAGTGCAATGGAAGTTCCACTTGTTTTTTATGTGTGTCATGCAGGGAACTGAACATCGTGGCGGCCATCTTGATTTTTTAAATCCTAACCTGCAGATATTCCTGTAAAGCACAAAAGGTGGCAACAAACAACCTGTGCAATTAATACTGTGGCACCTCAGCAGAGGCAGCAGAAGATGCAAAGTATCCCAAAGCTTTGTGCTTTGACACCCATGCGTGCCTCAACTACCTTTTCATTTAAAACAAAAGATACTTTCTGCCATTTCCCTTCCCAAATGTCTTTGGTGGAGTGAGTGCCAGGTTCCGATTGAAGCGATCCTTCCATTAGACCTTGTGAAGTGAACCAGGACTTGAATGAATTCCTAGATCCTTTAACACTAAGATAGGTTATCCATTGTCTTCAGTGAAATGTGGAAAGAAAGGAACATCATTCTCAGGTTGGAACTGGCTAGCTACATCCTAGTCAAGTATGATAACCAAGAGCACTTTATAAAGCTAAGATAAACCACAAATGTAAATTTATTACTGTGCCTTTCCATGCAGAAAAATGGTCATTCTTCAAGTATTCATCATGAAACTGGAATCCCCTCAGGAAATTAGGATATTCTGCTATTGTTGGGCGTCCAGTTAAAACATCTCGGAGAGTAGAGGAAAATTGGCTTTGGCAAGTGAGTAGGCGAGAGTCCAGCTCATGTGGTTTTGAAGGCAGAAGAGAATCATCTGTAAAAGACAGAAAAAACCGTTCATGCCTTCTGACTCTACTCAAGCTTTCTTATGTGGGCACAATAGGATCACAACTTATAGGAGGACCAATAGCTATGGCAAAGCTTTGTGCAAAAGGAGGGTTCTAAATGCTCACATGCAAATATTTGTATATTTATTTGCAAAGTCTAGTGGTAAAACATGTGAAGAGTGATGGACTTACACATGAGAAAGATAGATGTGTGGATTGTTGGGGAGACTACTATTATTGCAGCTTTCCATAAAGGAACCAGCCATACTGTGGCTTAGTTGCTGGATTTCTGGCAGTATGACTGTGGCATCCTTAGAAAACAGAGCCTCCAAATACCATTCCTATATGACATGGCGTTACTAGCAGGCACGCCATATGAAAAGAAGGGGCTGCCCCCATAATCCAGCCTTCAGCATGTCCAGTTAAAAGATGCATGGTCAAGGAGACAAGTTGGGAAAGACTGGTTCAAAACCTTGGCAAATCATGGTTCATCACTGGTTGATGAAGAGCATACATCTAAACCACAGTAACTTGGGAATAAAACCCAGGGTATCTTTGGATAACAACCACTGGTGCAAAGATGTATAGAAGTGCATATCAGACAGTTTCCTTCTATAGAGTGTCCTCCTCCAAGTATTTGGGACAAAAAGTCCAGAATTCCCAGACTGCATGGAAGGCATCTGGTTGAGATAAGCTCATTTAAACAACACATTTTAAACAAGCAATTGTCTCATGGATTCTAATCATACTCAGAGTCAGAAACGAAAGAAAATGTAAACCATCATTATGGGTTAGGCATGAAAAGGACTTGATATTTCACACTACTTGTCAGAGTAATTGGGAGAACTTTTCCAGCATTTCCAAATATTGTATAAAATTATTGATGTTCAACTAACATCAATAATTTCATACAGAAACAAGTCCTGTGTCTTCTTACTGGGATGAACTCATTAATCTTAACAAAGGTAGGAGAACAATAACAAATTTACAAACCAGGAAAGACAAGAAGGGAAAAAAAGAAATCACCTTACCAATGTCTTGCACTCTGTCTCTTGTCCAACTATACCAGAATTCTTCTGAGTTATTAGCTAAATTCCAGAAATAGATTAAATCCAAAGAAAATATACTGCTCCACATACCTGTGAAATAAATTTAAATAATTGGTTCAATAAATGTAAATAAATAGTCTTAAATTTGCAGTGTCAATATGAAATTGTTTCTTTTCCACTGCATCTGAAACTTCAGCTTTTACCCCTCATTCTGAGTTTTCCAGATATTTCCAATCAAGAATTGTTAGGCTATGCGAATATATTTTTACATAACCATAAAGGCTTGCTTTATAAATTGATCAGCTAGATGGGAAAAACAAAGGCAGTTTCCAATCACCCATTTACTTCCTTTGGCCCTTTACTATTGTTCAGCTTCAATCATAATTTGTATCTCTCATTTCCCTTTTCACACCAGTAAGGGGGAAAAAACACATCAACCTAGAGGAATTCAGTCATCACTAAGTCGTGTACTAAGTTATATCTGCCAAAATATCATCATCTATATAGCTATGAAATGTACAGAATTGCGGGGGGGGGGGGGGAGTATCTCATGCACATTTACCATTCATCCTATTGATAGTTCACATTTTCAGTGCTTGGAACAGTCAACTGATCATCAAAAGAAAACAATCTGTCCCCCAACAAAAGTTAAATCACATTAAATATTTTGTATGAAATTTGTAGAAAACAGAGTAGAGTTGATAAAATAAAACTAGGGTAAGACCCACACAATTTTTTTAAATGTACTGATGAAACCATGACACTTCTTGAAAAACAAAACAAAAGTAATATAGGCAATTTACAACAGGAATTATTAGGCAGTAGCTTGCTTTAATTTAAACTACAGTTTCTTATTTATTTACCTTGCATGAAGCAGATCCGAGTTTCTGGGAACTTCTTCATCAATCGTCCCATGAAAAATTCATTCCCAAAATCTTCTGAACAGATGTATGCACCATGTTTTATACTTCCAACCTCATAAGGAGTGAATTCTAGCCATTCTGGAAGCACAACATGGGGGTTAATATATCCTATGGATTCTTAATTACAAAATTAACCAAAGCATATCGGCTGTTCTTTCTTTTTTTGCTTGCTTGCTTTGCTCTGGTGTGGGAATTTTTTCCTACTCTAGGAACCTGGGGCCTGCAAGAAACTCATTTTTCTGTTCCCTTCTAAGGTGAAAAAAATGTTATTTTTAATGGTCTATTTAATGGTCTCATTTTAGTACTGAACAATTAAAATGTTAGTACAGAATAATATGAATAATATACATACAGCATTACCTTTAAAATCTTGAGCACTGTAGTTGTCTTTTAGGTTGACTGCCAAGTAAATGGGCAAAGGATTCTGACCCTCACTCACAGCCACGCGCTGATCAGAAAGTGTGTGATTGTCTTTCTTCAAAAGAGGGAGAAAAATATGTCTGTTGACCATCATGTGTCCATAGACATGCAAGTCTTATTAGAGAACTCACTTCGAACTTTAACATTACAATGATATATAGAGACCTTCTGATTGTCCAGACTGTAGGCAAGATGGGATGAGGGAGGGGAAGAGTTACCTGTGTACAGGAATTCATGCGTGGAATATCTATGTGAACCCTCATGGAAGAACCCTGGAAGGACCTTGCTAAGGCAGATCTAAAGATCATCTAATAAAACATTTTAGTTCCTACAATGCACAAACATTTCCAGATTGTCCAAAAGCAGACTCTGTAGGTCAGCTACCTTCTCTCACTGCCCGTGCTTGCTTTTAATCCTGAAGATAAGTATATGTGGCTAATAGCCACTGAGAGATGCATCTTCTATAAATTTGTATCATCCCCTTTGAAAACCCTCTCAGCTTGTGACATGGCTTAACTAACCTCCATAAACACAGTATATGAAAAAGGACTTTCCTAGTAGACTACTTCTTTTTCAAATCATGCATCTATTTCATAGATCTCTCCCTTTAATTAATATGAAGGCTTATTACCTCATCATGTAACATGGACTCAATGACAAGGCCCCAAAGGTCTATGAAAGAAGTTCTGTGTCCTTCTTTGGTTCTTTGGCTCAGCTCATTATAATAATACTTCAGCTTATCAATTGAAAAACAGTTAAATTTAGATTTGGTCACATGTCTTCGGGCTTCATTAATGGCTTCTTCCAGGTATTTCTGTGACCAATCAGGATCTTCATATAATTTACCCATGGTCCTGAGTTTTTATTAAAAATAATAATAATGAAAATGAAAATGAAAATGATAATTAAGAGTAGCACACAACTAATAGCATAGAAACCTTACTTTCAGAGAGAATGACACTATTGTTATGTTTAAATATATTTTGGGTTATAATAATATCCCCCTGCTTTCCTTCCTCCTAGAGGGCTTTCTGAGGAATGGGGATAGCTATCCAGGGCTTCCCACATGGAGGGGGCAGCATTCAAAATATAGTATCTGAAATGCCACATGACATTGTCCCATGAGTGTCATAGTACTTTTCATTTAAGGTAATAAAACTGATAAATTAAAATGAAATCCCAACATTTATTTCAGTATTTTGTTTTTTCCACAGACAAAACAGTAACAGACAGTTACTGGGCAACTGAATTTAATGGGAAAAAAACAGAGAGGGGAAAACCAATATTAATATAGGATGCTGTAAGAAGGGAGTGGTTGGGTCTCTGTTGAATATTTTGCCTAGGAATATTCTCCAGTTTTACACTGAGCATAGTTTAGCACATCTATCTCAACCATAAATTGTTGTTAATCTTAACTCTAATTAGTAGAAAAAAGCTTAATTCCAATTAAATGTTTGTTTATGAAGTTGAAAGCTTCTATCATTGTTTCATTTGATAAATAGATTAAAATTTAATTATATTTAGTTTAAAATACAAATTTAAAGTGATATATTTATTTTAGAATGATTATAAATTAAAAATGGTATATTTATTTCTTGCCCGAACCTATCTCAATGAAATCATTAGTTTTATTCATGGGAAAAGTGGAGGTTATATACATTCATTTGTTACTTTTAGCGGGCCGTGGTATACAAAGTTTAACAACCCTTGTCTTACGTATTGTTCTGAACCTTTTCTGCAACATTATGCATACATCATATACTGGACAGGTCATGAAATATAGTAAATGAAAAGAAAATCCTCCTTACCATGTTGTGCCAGATAAACCCGTAATGTATGTAATACAATCTAACAGATTCAGTTTCTGCAGACCCAGAAGGCTTCCATACATTGCTGTAAAGGATCTGGTTCCACCACCAGTTGTCATTATTGCAATTACTGGTACCTATTTAGCACCAAAGGGCAGAGTGAGATAGGGGGTAAGCTGCTAGACATTGCTCCAATCTTAAGGTAGAGAAGGCTGAGCAGATGTACCATAAACAAGTTCTAACTGCAGGCATTGACAGAGATTATCGAAGCAAAGACAAATGCTCTTGTATTTTTTCTACCAGTTCTCATTCAATTTGATGAAAGAAAATTTACTTTAGAAATTATTTGAAAGGAAAATAAATATTTGTGGGTTGGAGAATGTTTGTAAATGGAGTGTGGTGTTCTTCCTACTTATTTAGTTACAGGGTTGCATAGGGGTATATGTGAATGCCCTGTCCTTCATTGACTGATCATCTCTCCAGTAGTCTGTACCTTTCTTGCCAGCTTCCTTAGCTTCCCACATTTCAATTAGGACCAAAGGCAAGACATCAAGAAAGAGTTTGTTGTATGAAGCTTTTTCAGTAATGGTACTACAGTTAGTCCTCACTTAATGACCACAATTGGGCCCAGCAACTCCATTGCTAAGCGACATGGTTGTTAAGCGAGACATTACGTGACCATGACTTGTGATTTTACTGCTGGCTTCTCCATTGACTTTACTTGTCAGAAGCCAGCTGTGAAGCATGCAAATGGTGATCACATGACTATGGGATGCTGCAACAGTTGTAAATACCCAGCAGTTGCAAAGCACCCAAATCTCAATCACATGACTGCAGGGACTCTGCAACGGTCGTGTGAGTAAAGTAAAGTTACTTTTTCAGCACCTTCATAACTTCAAATGGTTGCTAAACAGGGCAGTTGCTAAGTGAGAATTAGTTGTCCAAGGAAAGAGGTTCCTGCCTTTGAGAAAATGTTGGAGATGTTCTCCTTTCCCTGGAGACATTCAGAGAAATTGTCCACCTAATGTCTATTCACCTAATTCTGAAAGCTCATTTGTACCCAACTGTAAAAATAAGCTGATATTCAAATTATGCTTTTAGCAGCCAACATGACCAATTTATTTTCTTCCAGTTGTTCTCCCATTGTCCAAACAGGAGATTCCTGTATCCTCTGTGCTGGTACCTCTCTTTTATTCTTAGATCCTCTCTACACACCCATCAATGTTTGGCATTGCGGTGCCTACAGAAGGGTGTTTTTGCTATTAGTGGCACTTTGCCCCAAAATATAACTTACTAGTCCATAAATGGAGTTAGCAGTCTACTCTGAACTTACTGGGGAAAGAAAAAATGTGGGCATGTCCCTGCTTGACCTACCTCATCATCCTTCAGTTCTTCTTGTAGCTGAAGAACCTTCTTCAGGGCAGCAGCAACGTACTTCTTTCTCTTCCTTAGGAAGACTTGTTCTTCTGCACCCAAATCACACCCTAAGCGTACATTGAGGTCTTTTGGGCTGCAATATGATAACTTAAATTTTGTAATCAATCCTCTATTAACATATCAGCTAACTAAATAGTATTTACATTACCATCTATGTTTATTTCCAGAAGTATAAACATGATAGACTGTTGCACAAACACAATCATAGTTTGTTTTTGTGTATTCATATTTTAAATATTAATCTTTTTATTAATTGCATAACCTTTTGTTATCACAGTTTATCCTGACAGATGAATATTACATATACAGTATACCCAGTGTTGGGTGTGGTGGGGAACAGCAAAAAAGAGAGAACAGGATGAGCTGGCAGAGAGATAAACTAATTCAAATGTTTTTTTGAGTAACCTTTAAGCAGGTATTTTAAGAATTCCTAATTAAAATGCACAAAGAAATAAAATCTGCTTTAGATACTGTATTATTATATTACCATATCCTCTATAGTCTCTCGTTTTATTAATATTTTCAAAGACAACAGATTGGGATGGAAAATAAATTATTTAGGATTTCCAGATCTCTTGAAATGGTTGAGTGTAACAACAGCCAGGGGTTCAAATGTTTATCACCAGTCAGTTTAGTAAAAGTTTTAGAAGAGGATCTGCAACTCCCAGTATTGTTCCAAAAATATGTCGTAGTCATCAATTCTGCAGACTTGTTCACAAGAATTAATGAAAAAGGCCACTTCCTGAAAGGTGTAGAGGAATTTAGCACTGGCTTTGAAAAGGAGATGGACAGGTAAAACAATTACTCAGCCCTGGGAAAGTAGAAAATGTGAGAAAGAAACTCAGAATAGCCCTGCCTTATCCTTGTCTTAAAAAGGGACAGTGAAGGTTTGGACAGATTCTGTTAATACACCCCACAACAATGAAGTAGCATTCCTGGAATCTCTAGAGCAATGTTTCTCAACCTTGGGAACTTTAAAATGTGTGGACTTCAACTTCCAGAATTCCCCATTTTGCTAAAACTAAAGCCTCCTCATGCTATTTTATTTGTCCTATCCATTTTTTTAAATAGCCACACATCTTAATTTTTATCTAGTTTTATTTCATAAACCCATTCTCTGCAAGAGGTGTTCTAAAACTGAACACCAAGTCCCTGAAACATCGAAAAAAGGCTTCAGTCATGATATGTTGACACTGAAGCAATGGGGAAGAACAAGAAACGCGACAGGACAAGCCCAGGCTCTCAGATCCTACCCAAACCAACAAAGCAGCCAAAAATGGATGGCTACATGATGGACAAGAAAACTGTGAGTAAAAATAATAACAAAATAAATTCTCTCCATTGCATCCCTACCTCCAATATCTGTGATATACTGACCTGGGATTTGGAAACAGAAATTGAAAAACAACAATTATTAGAGCTGTCCTCTACTTTGCATGAGGAATCAAATCATCTGATTGAATCCCTGTCTTTATTACCCTCTCCTGTTGTTAGTACACCTCTGATGGGGGAAGAGCAAGTCAAGCAAACACCAAAGGAATTCACAACAGGTTTTGCTGCTAGACAATGCTTATTAACTGCACAAACTGTAATTTCAATTTTTGAATATTTAACCTCTATAAACACAAAGGTGGATTCTTTAAAAACAGCCTTTGAAACTCTTATGCAAAGTTGTCCAGATAAGCTAGCAGCTTTTACAGTAACTCAAAACATTGACACCAACTCCAATCTGTTTATGGACAACCAAAGGAAACAAAATTGCTCAAAAGAACAAATTAAGATTAGAAAGGGAAATCAGATACAGGCAGAGCTTACAGCCTCACTTTCTACCAAAGAGATAAACCCAAACAAGCACAACCGCAAGTTGCTTTAAGGATTACACACAACAGTTGGATCTGATGGATTGGTTTCAAGGGCATGTCTCTAACCAATGTTCTCTGTAAGTCAAGGCCTGGTATTTAAAGTGAGAACATGAAAAAGGAAGAAGAAATAAAGCTTGGACTGATAGCGCTTTAAGAAACAGCAGTGAAATTTAATGAACAAGTGTCTGTAATGATGTTTGTATTCCTGATTGAAAAAAAGTGCTTCAGAATTCAGAAAAAGAATTGAAGAAGCAAGAGGTTGTATTTCAACACATATGAGACAATGAAGAGAAAATAATAAAACAAAAAAGATTTCTTCAAGAAAAAGTCTACAGTTGAGTTTATAGAGGAAGTAATTCTACACAAGGAAGAAGATCAATTGAAGTTACAGAACAAGAATGACAATCGGAGGCAAGAAATGTACAAGATATTCTGCACTGCTGGAATTCCAAAATCGCTTTCAAACCCTCAAGAGAAAACAGTCTTTGAATTTTCAGAGATTGTATGGAATGGGAACTGAGTTGATGGATCCCTGAAGGAGAGAAGAGAGCTGGTCCCTGCAAAAAGAAAACAAAACAAATTGTCTTAGTAGCTGGTGACTCACCACAACAAAGAACTGCAAAAAATATGTGGTGTCCAAACCTGCTGGATTGTGAAATGTACTGTCTGCAAAGAACATGGATCAGGAATATGAAGAATAATTCCCAAGACTTATCAAATCCACTGCTAATTATCCCTTCTTCCCAATTCACGTGGGGGCAAGTAACACTGCAAGGAAGCTAAGAACACGGGGGCTCAGGTGGTTTTTTCATCCATTCCACAGAAGAGTTTTGGAAAGGGAAAGAAGAATAATTTCTTTATTTCATTTATTAAATTTTTCAACCGCCCATCTCCCCCCAACGGGGGAACTCTGGGCGATACAGCTGAATTACCAGAGACACTTTTGTTTCTGAGACTATGGTGTTAATTATCTACATGATGGGTCTGCTACAACCCTGTGGAGATGGAGAAGAAAAACCAAACCTCAGGAGTAGAACCTCAAATAAAGGCTTGTGTCTTGCAAAAGAAGTTTGAAGTGTTACTGTAATAAGACCTATCAAACTGCACAATTAAAAAAAAAAGACAGGAAGAACATGGTTCATGAATTTCATGGCTTTCATTGTCTATAGGTTAATGCTCAAAGTGAGAAAAGGAAATAAAGAAAATGAGTTTTCATTGTTAGTACAGGAAGGCAAATGTGAATTATAGGTGTAATGGAGGTATGTGGATTGTGGGAAAGCTGCACATATAGTTTTGATTTCAGCAAAGCACCATTTGACAAAGTCCCCATGATATTTTGATTAATAAGCTGGTTTAATGCGAACTAATTGGCATGACATTTAGAAACTGTAACAGCAGCCAATTAATAGTTGCATAATATGATTTTTCAATAAAAGAAGGGAACTCTTCTGCACCCAGTATTTTCCTTCTTTGATCTAGAGCCAAACATAGCATTTTTAGAAAATATGATTTTTTTAAAGAACACTGTTCTTTTTAAAGTAGAACTTTACAAGAATATGTAATGTTTGGGAGCCCATTTCTTAGCATTGTTTTGATAGGTACCATTTTTTTGACATTATTTATCTTATGGCTTTTTATATTCCTGAAGTAATCAGATAAGTAGTCCCAGCCAAATGGGATTTACAAAGGGCTGGAATCCTTTGATCTTAGTGATTTAATTATATAGGCTGTCATCTTGTTAATTAAGTCACCATGATTAAAGGATTTCAGCACTTCCTAAGGATACTGTAAACATTTCCTATGACTGATATAAATTGTAAAACCGATCACATTTTAAAAAGAGAGCTAAATATTCAGCAATTGAGGGAAATGTAAATTAATAAATCATTATTTTGTATATATTGGTAATTCTGAAAAATTTTGCTCAAAATATTCCTGCGTATCCAATGCCATTACTAGCTTTACTTATTCATTTTAATCAGGTTTAAGTATTCAGTCTTTTTAAAATGAATTTTCTTTGAATCAAGATCAGAGAATCTTGTTTTAAAATAAAATTGTACAATATGTTGCTTCTTTATGATGTTAAAAATCTGATATTTTACCAGTCTTTTGCCTTCACATGCAGATCAAAAGATTCATTCTGAAAATCAAGAGAATAAGTACAAGATTAGGCATATCACTCACTATTTTATGCCTTCTACCTTAGAAAAGGATAAACAAACAACCAAATCTTGTTATTAAATCAACTTTAGTTTCAGGTCTAAGATACAGCTGAAATTATATCCAGTGTTAACAACAGAATGACAGATTTTCCATTTCTAAGTATCCACAAAAATATTCCCCCTGTAGTAAGGGAAGAGAAGGTGAGTGTTGTTTGTTTTTGTTTTGTGGGACCTTCTGGAACAGTCATTAGGAATCCAGAAAGCTACCTTAGACTAGAGTCAGATCATGCTGCAATCCTAGACATGAGATTTAGGCAGCTCAAGTCCATTGGCACTGGGGCAGCCTAGATTCTGTACATACATACATACATACTCAACAAGACTTATTTCAAAATAAGTGTGTATGTGTGTGTGTATGTGTTATTTATCTTATAATACTTATGACCTGCCAATGTGATGTAGTGTGGTTAAGGCACTGGACTAGGAGAAGGGACACCCATGGTCTAGACCTTTCTTAGGCATGAAAGCTAGTTGGGTGTCTTTGGGCTAATCACACTCTCTCTGATCTAGACTGGGAAGTCAAAAAACATCTATCTGCCAACCCACACTAAACCAACATGGCTACATGTTACAATCCATAGTTTTCAGTGAAGAGGCCTTCTTCCTGCAGTAGATTGATCTAGGCTCATCATCATCACCATCATCGCCATCATGATCTTCACACACAAACACACATAAATTATGACTCATAAATTATAAAAACCTATATAAATATATATTAAAAAACCACATACATACATAGCCAAGCTGTGAATAACAAACAGTCCCTTCGTAACAAAGTGGGCTCAAATGCCAACCTGGTTCAATGTGTGGGAGAAGAGCCAGATCTTCATGACTCTGTGAAAGGCTAGTAGGGCTAGGGCCATCCACACCTCAGCAGGGAGCTTGTTCCAAAGGATGGGCGCAGCAACAGAGAAGACCCATCTCTAGGTCTCATAAGATAACACTGCTTCAAAGAAGGACCCAGAGCATGCCCACCCTGTGTGACCTAGTCAGATGAGCAGCGATAACTACAGGCAGCCCCACAAATAACCCAGTCCAGTGCCATGCAGGGCTTTATAGGTGATAAGCAATACCTTGAATTGTACCCATAAGCATACTGTGAGCCAATACACCTCATGAAGAACAGGCATATCCATTATTACCGGCGCTGCTACATTCTGGACCAGTTGCAGCTTCTGGATGGTCTTCAAGGGCAGCCCCATGTAGAGCTCCTTGCACCTGGGAGGCGACTAAGGCACAAGTGACTGTAAGCAGGGCTGCCAGATCCAAAAACATGCAACTGGCTTATAAGGCGGTGATGCAAAGCTATGGTTGTGGCTGCCTCCTGCTCCTCAAGCAGCAGTCAGGAGTCCAGGAGGAACCCTAAAATGTGCACAGGTTCTGAGTGGTGGAGTGTGTGTGTATACACATGTACTCACGCGCACACAGACACATATACACACACACACCCCTTTCCATTTATCTATAAGCCTCCATTTATCTATAAATCTCTCTCTGTTTCTCTGAGGTGTGATAACTCCTACGGCATTGTTTCCTTTAAGAAAAACAGCTCACCTCTCCTAGCACTATTTTCTCTTGTATGGGAAGTTCAGTCAAAGGCAAAATCACAGTAGAAGAATATCCTGAGTTTCCTTTAAGTGAAGCCAGCTAAATAGATACATATACATATAAAAACTTAAAAGAAGAAAAGTTGTGAGCATTTAGTACATAAATGTTACATTACCCAAACACGGATTAACACCAATCTTTATCATAAAGATTAAATGAAATTTCTGAAGGGTGCAAACCAGCACTCACTTCTGCAATCAGAATTTTCCCACCCTCTGCTGTCTCAAGCAGCTTAATTCTTTTTCTCTAAATCCACTCTAGAGGATGCTCTGCCTCTCAAGAGTAGATTTTTATAATGTTTGGCAAGTTGTAGGGGACACTGATTTGCTCCCTTCCCAGACAGAAAAGGCTAATTGGATAGAAACTTAAATATGAAAAATGGTGCTAAAATTTAAAATTATATTTTCGATTCCTTGTCCTTGAGACAAATTGGGAAAGAACTGACCTAGGAAAAGTTGAAAAATTCAGTCCTTTTTTCTCAATCTGAAAAATCAAATTGAGCAAGTGGGTTTAGGACCATTTTTCTCAGCCTCAACAACTTTAAGATGTATGGACTTCAACTCCCAGAATTTCCCAGTCAGAATGCTGACTAGAGAATTTTGAGAGTTGAAGTCCACACATCTTAAAGTTGCTGAAGTTGAGAAACACTGATTTAGGATAATAGAATTTGTAAAAATATTTCCCTCTTAATTTGTTTCAGCCACATCACTGATGTAGTACTATCAGTAATAACACTACCTTTGACCAAAACATTTCTGTAGGTAAGGTGATCTCCAGATTTGACTGATAATTCTTGATACAGTGAAACTGAATGATGTTACTATTACTCTGGCTGGAATCAGGAGCCAGTGAAATCTTCTGTGTTTCCTCAAAAGAACCCTTGACTGTAAGTGTTAATTCATCTTCTACGTAGATAGAACGAAAAACAAAGGAATATTAACAACATTAATAATCACTCTTTATAGGCTTCAGTTAATAAGACTCATAGAAATTTGGGATAGAAAAATTACTGCTGATCTGAATTTCCAGAGCAAATTCATTTCTTTTAACAATAAAAGAAATGGGGGTAGTAGGAAGGGGAGCATTTCT